ATCACTTGTTACCAGAGTCACGTGACTTTCGCTGTCGTAACAATAACTCTCTTTAGGTAGGAAACATTTAAAATGTTTATCATTATTTATTTTGACTAAATATTGTATAAAACCAAAACATCTCAGGTGGTGAAACTAAACCTTATAGCCGCAGCACATGTCACTGCATCAGTTATATTTGCTTCGTGATGTTCTCAGATGGTTACGTACTAAAACATTTTTTTCTGTGGAAAGCATATACAGTGGGTTGGCTACGTTATATTAAAACGAGTTTTGAGCCTCACGACGACGTTGCAGTTAGTGTAGCCACATCCGGTCATTCTCTATCTGGTGACCGTGCTTCTTGAAAACAACCATGACATACACACACACATATATTAGTAAAGAGCACATATTAAAAGGTATAACAGTAATTACAATGCTCTCTTCCTTAACTATAAAACGCCAACAAATATTATATTCAAATTAGTAGATCATATATATCATCAGTTGGTTCTGCACATGAATTATCAGAACTGTATATTTCTTCCACATTTCATCGATCATACCGAGAGTGAGTACATTAAATCAAAACAAATTGGGAGCCTCACTACGTCATTACAGTCCATGTAGCCACGTCTGGTCATTCTCTATCTGATGACTGTGCACCCTGACAACAGCTCTACAGTGTAGATTACATTGCAAAAGGATCTGTCCTAAAAATGTCATATAAAAAGCACACAACTACTCCCTGCATACTTTTCTTACTGCCTCTAGTGTACGAGAATGACGGTATTCCAGCGCCGATTTCAACAGTACGATTGTACAGTAATCCATAAGCGCTGCCTCTGACGACTTAACTGGTAAATCTTCGTATGGAGTATCATGGATACCTGTTTAGTTCTCCAGCTGCTTGGTATATTCCATAGTTGAGTGGAAATATTGAGATTATGTTGTATACTGCATGTGTATGACTTAGTCTACTGACAATTGTGTTTATAGATTCTTACCTGCTACAATATACCAAACATGGTTTACACGGCTGGGGTATAACTTGTTGCAGGCTTCTTTCTGGATGGTTCTGGTGCTTCAAATTGACTCATACTCGTTTGTTTCCCATGCCATTAAATAAAAAGAATATCTCCGTTTTAGAAATTCTCAATATTCGATATAAAGGCATCCGTATGATTCAAGTTTATGAATATTTGGTGGCCTCACACTACCTAATAAATGCCATATAACGTCAAAATGTAGTTCTGATACATGTCGTTCCACCATCACTTTATATCGTCTGTGTTAATTTTCATATTCAAAACTGTTTTAATATAACGAAATAAATCATCTATTTGCTCAGTACAGTTGCTGTTTCATTGCTCTTCTTGATTGTGGTCATAGACAAGACTAGGGGTGGTACAAATACTGGTGCAAGTTAGGATCAGTGAAGATTTACCTTCCATTAATATATATAATGGGAATTATCATAGACGTGGATAACCTAGGATTGGGGGATATTGGATTAAAAACTTTGGTTCTGGCTTAATAGTGTGTAAAAGCTTTCTCCTTCTTCAGCACTCAGAAGTTTGTTATACAAAACATTGGAGCCTACCAGCTTCATTATTTATTCCAGCAGACAATTGTGTTTGGGTGAATAAATATTTGTAATTTTGTTCATTCACTTGATGTAGCTCTTTTCTCCCCATGTTCTAGTTATTCTATGCTTAAATTTGTCTTAGAATCTGGCATGTATTCTGAATACTTGATACATACCTTTTAATACACGAACCTAAGTACCATAAATTAGGTTAATAAGTTATATTTTAGTACAACGACTGAAATCTGATTTTGTGGAGTTTATTATTAATGAGTATTGGCAGTTTCTGGTTTCAGCCACCAATGGCCAAAGACAGAGATGAGCTGCATTTGGTAGATGAAATCTGCCAGGAAGAGCCATGGCAGAGGCAGAGCAACCAAAATCTCATCTGGTATCTCTTCTTAATGCTGTTGATCATTAGAATGGACAAGAATCTTCCAGGCCAGAAAATACACTGATGATGTTATAACCAAGCAAGCTGTAACCATGCTAGCAAACCAAGGTGGATGTAAATCAGACCACGTAAATGGTGTACATTCATATGTTTCACAATGTTCTGCTGTTGACTTTACTTGAAAACAACAATTGTTAGAATGTCTGTGTATGTAGAATTTCAAAGAAGAATGGAGCTTTTACCAAATGCTCATAGCACCTCAGCTACACAGAGGTATAGATACTGGTAATAAGTATATATTTGTATCATTGTTTCACAATGGTGTTAATGTGAAGCAGGTTAAACAGTAAGGAATTTAGATTTTTTAAATATTTCACGCAAGTCATTTCTTGAAATGGATTGATTTAAAAATAAGCAGAGCAACATTTGATGCCAATTCTGAAAGGTTCAGCACTCAATGTCCTAAAACATTTGGACAAATAACCATCAATGACTGAAGCACAGTTGTCACTAACTGTGCCAAGGCTCGAAGGTAAAGGCTCAATGATAATTTAGTCTAAGGAAGTTGTATGGGAAGACATTTTCGAGCATATCTCAATCGATCACCATGAGATATTCATCAATATGTTTATCGAGGGTCTGCAAAGCAAACTTATGTAGAACCACATAGTTTTCAAAGATGTCTTGTTCATGAAAGAGTTGGATTCTGAGAAGACACGAATCCAAGCGTTCACATTGAATCAAGAGCTAGAGCAGAAGAAGAAGAAGCCAGCAACGGAGTTATTGTAGGTATCTTTATGAACGATTCTGGTGCCCCAACTTGATCCGTAGTACTTTGTTTTCCAATGCCATTAAGTACAAAGGATATTCCCGTCTTAAAAATTCTAAATCTCGAACTAAACTCATATTTATGATCTGAGTGTATGAATATTTTATGTCGGATAGGCTATTTAGATCATTTTCTTGAAAGCAATCACTTTTCGGTGGCATTACCACATGATAAACGCCATCAAATTCAATCACTGAACATGGTCACCTTTTCAGCTGTGGAGGCGTTATGATGTGAGGGTTAATCCCACTATTCGGTTATTAGGCCAAAAGTTGACGGTAGATGGCCTTTCGTGTAGTCTATCACTTCCAACATAGGGACAGCTAGCGAAAATAGCACCCGAGTAGCTTAGTACGAAATTCAACAAACAAACAATTCCTCAATTTTATATCAGCTTTGGTTTTCATGTGTCTACTTATTTGCATCTTCAAAATCATTTTAATATAACGTACTCAATCTTCTGCATTTTAATAACAATACACTATCTATCAGATGTAACTTCTATTCGAAACTTAGTATGTGTAACGAATTTAGAAAATTTATTTATAATTAGGAAGGTATGTGAATTTTCATGTCCACGACTAAACTCTCATTCACCGTTTGCAGTCATTCCTGATAAAGTAGTTTCTCTTAAATAGTTATTGAAAAGAAAACAAAATGTAACTTGACAAATTGTAATTTTATCCAATAATGATTCCACACCTTTTGAAACAATACACCGCTAAATCTAAGAGAAATATAGTAATATATTTTAAGATATAATAAAATTAAAATTTACCTTAACATTTTGATAATGAAGTGTAATATTCAAGCTCCTAATCGACAACAAGAGTTTTTGCATAAATTTTATATACCTGCTAAAAATGTGAACTGAATAATGTTACGAACCTATTCGTTGCTCATGTTGTTATTATGGAAGTAAATATTGAAATATTACGGGCACAACATGATGTTTCGAATTATTTTAAAAAATAACTCACTAGTTGTAGCCCTCTATAATAATCATGAATCGCATGCGCAATAAACGCGCGGGAAGATAGTATTTGGAGGATGATACCTTATAATTTATATGGTTAATAATCAACTGTTTGTAACTGTGTTAATATTTTATCTTTAATCAAAAAGGATATTTATAGGCACTTACATTTTACAATGCATATAAAGTCAATGGTGATTGATGGATTCAAATCATATGGCCAAAGAACTGAAATCAATGGCTTTGATCCTTTATTTAATGCAATTACAGGATTGAATGGGAGTGGAAAGTCAAACATTTTGGATGCAATTTGTTTTTTGCTTGGAATAACAAACTTAACTCAGGTAACTTAATGTCTAGAGACTAGCTTTATCTAAAACTATTTTTGTAAGACTTAAAAGTTAGAGTATACTTTTTGTTAAATGTACTGTAAGCAATTATTGTAAACCAGCAAAAGTTAATGTATGAAAGAGCAAAATTGATTGAGAATAGAATTTTATCCTGATAACTGTGAGTGTGAATTACTTCAAATTTCAATAATTTATCAGTTGTGAGAATTGAATAACGACTGTCATTTTGTGTCATCGCTACTAGTAGTAGTAATACTGAGTGATGATACTACTACTAATAGAAGTAAACTAGTACTAGTGTAAAACTTTTTTCATGTTTTGCATTATCCATGTTCTTGCATTATTCATGCCTTCTGGATAATCAAGAGTGAATTATATTGTAATTTGTTGCATATTTAAATAATTTAAAATTTAGAGCGTTGCAACTTATACAAGTTCAAGTTATATAATTAAACAGTGACATTCTTCATTTACCATTAGGTATTGAACAATTATTAAATCTTTAATTTTTTAACATAATCTACCAAACCTATGAGAGTGTTACATTTATTCACAGTTGGTCAAATTTTCAAACAGTCAACTTTTTGGGTTACTTAGACTACTAAATCCTAAGAAAATTTGTTTCAGAATGACAGTATTGCAATTCTAACACCAACTTTAAACAGTTGTGATACTTTTGAATAGTATAAAATAAAATACAAGTTATTTAGTGCATTTGTCCACTTTTTAAAGAAATAATTCAATAACAGCTTTATATTGCACCAAAATGGAGAAATGGTACTTTTTTCCTATTTAATAATGTGCATTAATTTGGTACATTTATTATTATCAATTAAACAAATTTTTTAAATAAAACTTTTAAATTGAATTGTACTGTGACTGAAGGAATCACAAGTCCTTTTTATGGAGTTCATTTCATACAAATTTACATAAGTATTTTTTTACTTCTGAATGAGTATAAAGTGATCAAAAATGTCAAAAATCACGATGCCAAAAATTTCCTAATGAAAAAGTGACTTATCATGAAGAAAGTCTGAAACTATGAACAAAAAAATGTCAGGTTGCAAGTTTCAGCAAGAAAGAGATAGGCTTGCTCAATAAGGTGTGAGGAAAGATCTAGTGAGGAGATGCCAGGAGCAAACCTGAAGTACAGGAGCAATTTCATGACAGAGAAGCACCCTGTTCAGCTAGCCAAGATCCTGGCTGAACAACCACCCATAGAGCAGTGTTTCTTCTAGTTTCATATATGATCTTTAATTTCTCTGTAAAGCATGGTATAACAGTAGTTTTTTGTTCCCCTTTAAAGTAGTGTCCTTTAATAATCAAAATAAATCATGAAAGAAAATTATGCATCACTGCCAGTGTAATGTATTCTTGTTCCCATATAGCCCATTACTATCTAGCTAACACATATTTGTCAAACACTTTTGATGGAGAGCTTGAAAAATCATGCAATTTACATTACCAGTAACTTTATAACAATTGGTTCTTTCATATCCTGAAACAGCTGTTAATTTGAATTTGTAAGAAGCAAAATCCTCAAATTAGCATGGTGGGTAAAACAAAATATGAAGCCTAGAAATTTTGCTGTAAAATTTTTATTGATGCTATAAGTATAGGCATCAGTTTTGCCAGCAATTTTGATTTCATTCCTTTAAGTCTCATGCTCAATCCTTTTGTTGGCCATAACTTTTTTTACACCAAAGGTGTTTTTGATTATATATGACTTGTGGCAATACATACCAACAAACCACAGCAAGTAAGAAAGTGACACTCGATTGTAACCAACATTTAAACAGATTCATTAAAATATATGGTGATAGTTTTCCTCTCTAAATCAGTGTTAATAATTTCCTTTATAGTTATGCTATGAAATCTAGATTAACAGTTTTTTGTCATCATCCATGTGTGCTCAGTACTGCCATATCAAGCATCATTATTTATGCTAATTGCTAAAGCTAATAGCACATGATGCTAAATGCTCTTTAATTAGGAGAATTTCATAATGGATAGCAAATTTGTGCTTAAAAGTTGGCAATGAATAATGAATAATAACTTTCCACTTTTGAAAACATGAACTAAAAACTGCTAATCTAGTTTGCTTGGTCTAACCAATACTTACTTATCTGCTAAGTATGTTTTGCTATAAATTAAAGTTTCTGTACTTTCATTGTGAAGAAAAAAAAAGGAAGAATTTATATTAAAACTGCAGATTTTATAACTTGTGTATTTATTAATGGATTGCCAAATTTAGTACATGAAGTAAGGGTCTGTAGTTCAGATCTGCTGAAAATATGTTATAGTTTGGACTACCACAGTCTGATTTACAGAAAGTGAAAAATCCCTAAACTATCACTCCTGTTAGTAACACACAGGGTGTCCTGCATATTGTTTTGGCTGTACGACACACACTACTGTGTGTCTTGATATGCATAGTTCCAAGAAGTTACCTTAAAGTTAGTTGTGGCTCAACACACGATTGCTAGTTGGTTGGATTGCTTCTGAATGAGAAAAACTATATATGTTGGATTTTTTGAGTATGAAGCAAATGGTTGAAAAACAAGAATCACAAAGGTGGGCAATTGTTGTAACAGACTGTCCGTTGCACCTGTAACTAACAGGAGAGTGTATACTTCTTTATTGACAGTAAAAGATAATATTTTATACAAATATCAAAAGTGACACAATGTAAGTGCTGAGATTTGAAACACAGAAGGTGATAAATTTTAAATAATTCAACCAGATGTAGGGCTTTTTTATCAGAATGCATTTAAAGTTGTCATTTCTTTTTTAAGGTTGAAAAGTTGATCGGTATATATGCGATAAATATATAATTAAAAGCATTTTTTTAATAAAACAATTAAAGAAAATAAATTTTTGGCAACTGGTTTGAAGATTTTAAATGCTTTCACTTTATTTGACCTTTGGTTGAAATACTTTGTTTGGTTTATAAAGTGATTTAGTTCTGCTCAGTTAAGAAATGCTTAGAATAACTTATATGGAATCAAACTTTTAATAGCTCTTTTCATTTTAAGGGGCCATGTGGGCTACCTAGCAGACACTTTTTATGGACCAGCCAGCACTTTTTGGGGCCATTGGCTCCTGGGCCCCTGCTAATTTCAAGCTCTGCTACCTGGTTTTTTTCCTCCCTCTCCAGATATTGGGGTCCATGCTGACCAGTTTGAAGCACAGTTAAGTTAAGGAGTCAGCATGCCTTGACCCCTCATACTTCAAATAATTACTCATTGTCGTACCATCATTTGAATTTTCAATTTCTCAACACAGACTTTTGAGACTTTAATCCAGGTGTGGGGTTTTGACCTTGATACCTCTGTGATATATACCCAAGCCCAGTTTCCCACCTTCGTTTTCCATTTCTCTTCTGTCCGAGGCTATCCACCACTCCTCTGAAGAGTTGTCAGAGGATACTCATTCCCTTATGTATTCCACTTTGGTGTGCTTGTCTTCCTTGACCCTTTCCCCTCAAACATGGCTCCTCTGTTGTGGAAATCTCCTGGGTAGTGATGCACTTTGAACTAATGTAAGCCTAGCCATGACTTATCTAAGGGACCTTTGGATGACCCCATTTTTACATAGGACAGTTTTGGAGATTTCTCTACCATTGGAATCTAGGTTTGAAGCTGCTCTTCAACACTCTTCCCTTATGTCCTTAGTATCTTGCTTGTCACAGCTTTTGCCCACCTCCTTCTGCACCTTTGCCTGTTCTACTTTCCTGGGTTTTGGTGGCTAGCCATTAGATTAATTATTCCTGGGTGCCCCGCTGCCAATGGTACCGGTGACTATCCTATAGGTTCTGGCAAGGTCGGAGCACTGTTGGCCAAGTTAGTATATCTATGGAAAAATTTCAACTTGGATTCTGGGATGCTTCATGTGTTGTCAGAAGGTCATTCCCTTCAATTTCTCAACCCTTCTACCTTATGCATACATCCCTTCCCACCCCTCATCGGGATCCTATTTTTTACCAGCATCTCTCCGAAGCAGTTCAGAGTCTTCTTCTCAAGGGCACTATAGCACTTGTCATTCATCCTTTCTTCAGGATTCTATTCTAGGTTGTTTGTCATTCCGAAGAAGACTGGAGACTGGCATTCTGTTATAGTTCTTTCCTGACTCCCCCCGGTTCCTAGACCTTCCTCATTTCACCACAGAGTCCTTACTCAATCTTTGTTGGGAATTTACTCTGGGTTTTTGGATGAGGAAGGTAAATGCATACCTTTACATCTTCATTTCTTCAACATCCAGACATTACCTTTATTTTGTTCACAAGGGTCGAATTTATAATTTCCACACTTTAAAATTTGGTCTGGATCCACACCCTATGTATTCTGTTGGGTGGTCAGGACTTTTTCTGAACTTACTCATTTTCATGGTATGTGGTTCCACCATTACATAGACAGCTGTTTGCTATTAGCTTCATCCCATCAGACATCTCACGAGCACACTTAGTTACTTCTTAGAGAGGCAGCTCGGGTGGGTTGCTTGTCAACTTGGTGAAATCTTTTCTGCTTCCAACCCAATATTTTATCCACTTGTGGGCGTTTTTCAACTTGGGCCCAACCTTTTCTACATCATTTGTGGGCAATGGAGCTATTAGTTCTCAGTGCTCAATCCTCTCCTTCTCTTACTGCATTCAAGATTCTTTCTTTTGGGGATTTGGGCTTCCATAGGAGCTCTCATTCCTTTAACCCTTTCTATATGGGTCACAGGTGAAAGGCCGTGTCATCTTGTTTGTTGACTTGCATTCAAAATTTTATTGAAATACTGTTTCATGAATTTATGTCAATAAGTTTGGTATCAAACTGTAGATTATAATTCAAATTTTAGAACTATACATTACTCAATTTGTTAATTTAAAAGTAAACATTAAAAAACAGATAAACTTAAATTTTAGTGTGTCACGTGGTATGTTGAATGCAGCACTAGTTCAAATTAGATGTTTGTGAAGACAAAATACTAAGTCTACAGTTTCATACGAA